TTTCACATCAAAGCAGAGTTGAACATGCTAAGCATGGCAAACCTTTGAGACTTTCAAACAAGAATTGATGGCTATCAATCGGACGGGTTAGGACAAAGCTTACGCTGCAGATCAATCACTTCTAGGATGGAGCGCCCATTCTACTTCTATTCAAAGTCGTAGTGGCTTGATGAATGCATAAGTGGCCTTCAAAACGAATTGCGGGGGCTAGTGGACGGGCAAGTGGTGTTATTACATTCGAGAAGAATCTGATACCATCCTACCGTCCCCGCAGGGCAGAAGGCTTGGTTGGGTCAAAAGCCGCTCCAAGATTTGACCCTAGACTGCACGAGTGGTGCCACGGTGCGTGCCACTTGCCACTACGCCATCTCCACTAATATCACAAAATGGTGAAAAGGAGTAATCTAGCGAGATGCCTGGACTCCAAAACGCTACATCACTCGTCACATATATGGCCAGAATCAAGAAAAACTGATTCATGAGCTAAATTGGGAGAGCGCCACAATGTACAGTCAGTATTCTCATCACTCTGGACGAATCTGGTACCATTTTGCCAAATTGGAAGGCTTGGCTGGCCTGGGTGGGAACCCGGATTTCACTCTGCTCCGCGTGCGTTGTAGCGGCCCACTTGCCATTATCCCAACCCCACATTATAAATGCTCCTTCGTAATGCGTTTGTCATTCTTTCACCTTTCTACAACCTGTTAGTAATGCTTCGGGCTGAAATGGCACCAGTAAGGTATCTATAGTGTACCCAAGAACAGTTCGCAAGGCAGGACGCATTTGCCGGCTCAGCAACTTCAGGAAGCACATCGTTAGGTGCTTTTGGTCGCCGCATCGGTCCATAAACTCCAGCTACGCTTCGTTTACTCTCCATCCGACTTTTGACCGAGTTAATCGGTCAGTCCAGAATTCGTCAAACACGTGGAAGGTCAATAAATCGTTTTTCGAAGTCATTCGCCGGGCCAAGGAAGTTCCCTCTCTTCGAAATAAGAGAGGGAACTTCTCTTTTGGGGGGAAGCGAGGGAGGCTTGGGGGAGGGACGGACGGCGAGGAGCCATCTTCATTGATTTCTTTGCCCTTCTTTTGGAGAGTCCACTTGGTGATCATTGCCTTAGTTATGAAGGCCACAATCATAATATGCAGCTCCGTTTTTGTCTTGAATTTCGCGATGGCTGCTGAGGTTTTTCTGCACAATGTACTCCCTGGAGGACTGACAGTAACGCGTGCCCTTGTTGAAGCCTTAACGATAATATTCAACCCACTATCTTACCGTCTTGTGAATGCTTATCACTGGTATACCTGTAAGTGAATCCCTCCACGAAATTTTGTGCGTTTTCAGTCCAACCTTTTGCTTCAAAGCCATACCTCATGACACCTTAATGTCTTATTATTTCAGGGTGCCTATGCGTTTTCCGAGCCAGAGACGGCATCCGTACGGGATTTCCTTCAGCGTCACAAAGTGCACACTTCCTCACCTTTCACTCCTATTCACAAATTTTGATGTATCCATTTGGCCATCAAGTCAGAACCTACTCGAATGATTTGAACGACCTGGTGAGTTGATCTGCCGCCTTTATTGAACTAAACTTTAACACTGACTGGAAAGCCAACGAAGGGTAGTTGTATACTTGTTCAAATCTCAACAGGATCAGCCAAGAAGCCGGAACTAGATTGAAGCAAGCAGGTTATACAGTAGAACGGGGCAGCTCGGCGAGGGGGGGGGGGAGCATTTCGCACTCTTGCCGCTTCCCATCGACGTATCGACCCATCCAGAGAGCTACTTCGTGAGCTTACAAGAGTTGACAGGTTTTACCATGTTGGCTCGACGAGCTTGCTCCAGCTTCACAAGAGTTCACAGGTTTCACCAGAGTGGGACTTGTGAACCAGTAAAGCAGCGAAAGTGCAAAATGCCCCTCCGTCGCTGAACTGCGTCCGGTTGAACAGTTCTGCGACTGAAAAGATGTCTGTATGGGTAACGTATGCGTAACAGTCACGGTGAAATACAAAAAGACAAAGGTTCTTCACAAAGTGTTTTCACGCCTAGTGGTCGAGGCGGATCCTATAATAAAGCTCTAGGAGACTAATTTCTGACCCAGCAAGCCTTTCAGAAGTTGTCTGCCAGTACTTCACACATATAGCGAAGCGTCCATCTACAATCTTGACCAAACCTCTACCTCGAAAGTCGGAATGTGCTTCGTTTGGCAATCCAAGTATAAACTTATTGAACATTTTCAATAAGGGTGTGCAGGGATCAACTGAGAAAATTGTGACTCGTGGAGTTCGCTATATCGTGATTGTTCGGCATTACCCACCATTTTCTGCCCCGCTTCTCAAAACTCAGGTCAAACTCAGGTCTATCGAAATTTGTCCTTGGAACAGATTTCGCTAGGATTTCTTTCCGAGGAGAAGAATGAACATCGCCAGGTTGTTTTATAGATGTATAGGATTCTTGAGTTACCGCTTTCGGCCCTCAGAGGAGAGAGGATAGCCATTCACTAGTTCCCGTTGTGTGGATATGGACTTTTTGGGATGATTTTGGCCATCAACAAGTTATTTACAGAGGTCGACAGCCCTCAGTGCTTCATCTCAGTTACATCGAATGTTTGGTACACACTACAAGGTCGGCACTGGAGCAGACACATTATGTGAGTTTTAGCTTCTTATTGGACGTTGTAGAGCACGCGAGCACTTTCCGGGTCACGATTTGTGACAATTCCTGCTGAGTTCAGCGACTTTACAAAATTAGCAGGCAAAACAAAGACAGCGACAACCCTACTAAACCCCCAATAGGGTGGTTCCTTTTCCGTCTCCCACCGCAAGTGACATACGACCCTGCATTCACTGCCCTTTACCATTGAGATGCAATACTCCCTTCTAACCATTAGTTAACTTGACTCTATTTTTGTCGAAAACAGATCAACACGAAAACAGGGAGATTTTATCATACAGATTTTCCACTCTCCCACTTCAATGAACGAAGAGCTGGCAAGATGCCAGAGAGTTCCCTTGATAAGAGTATAGGAAGCAGTGACCGCCACTTCCCACTTAAAGGCAGCGCCCGCGTTCATTTGATGTTCCTACGCCCTCCTTATAGCGCAACTTTGTCGACGAGGGTGGAGGTGCATTGATTTAGCTCAAAAATACGGGAGGATGCCGCCCCGCCCACCTGGCTGCCATGACTGTTTTGGCTTAGCCTCTAAAGGCTGAGCCCGCTTTTAAAGAATGAATGAGTCATGGAGCTTATATAAGACGTGATCCAGTAGTGGAAAAAAGGAGAAAAAATCATGGAAAATGCCCTATATACAACCCTGTGCTCGCCAGGTGGGCGGGCGGCCGTCTGTTTCACTAGAGAACGGGCTATCTTCTTCGCCTTTCTGAGATGCAAAACTAGTACATACTGCATCCTCACAGGGAAAGCTATGAGATCAGTGAAGGTGTGCGGGGAATATCAAATGACCGTGGAGTGCCTTAGAAAAGTGTGGCGTTCCCACATTGTCACGTTAGGTACGCAGTGAGATTTTTCACCCATCCCTCCCTCCTAACATAGAACCCTTAGTAATGCTTATATGTGCAGTCAGCCATAAGCACATGACAAATCATCCTAGGATTCAGCCACTGCCATCATTTCCACTTTTTCTGGGTTGTGAGTGTGACTATGAGTGAGTATGACCCACGAAAATTACGAGCCCTTATTACAAGGGTAGAGCATCGTGACGTGTGGGATGGCGGTGTCATCGCCTTACCAAATGTTCCCTCCTAGTACAACCCTTCCCGTCTCTTTCTTCACCCGGGCCTCTTCCTCTTTATTTCGCAAACGTTCTACCATTTTCCCCAGCTTCATTGAAATTTTCAGTTTCTCCATATAAACTCGTCGTCGAGCGGAGGTGGGAGCAAGTGTCACCAAACAATAATGTTTTATCGATTATCGGAAGGAGTGGCTGTTATAATATTTCCGTGAACGCCAGATACGATCCCCGCCTAACCGATGCAACTCACACCCACTGCGATACCAAAGCACATCATCAGTTGGGGATTTCGGTCGACAACCCCCCCCTTTTTTAGGAGTTGGGACCTCCCTGGTTCCCTCGTCATCGGGCTGTCGAGGTGTGGGGGGGGGGGAGGTGGGGAGAACTGAATAGCACATGTGAACCGGCGCAACAACAAGAAAAAATACCCCCCCCCCATCTCTCTACCATTTCTTAGCTTTTCGGTTCTCCCCAACTTCCTACCACTTTTTCTTGAATTCCGCAAAAATTTTCGTACTTTTCTCCAAACAATTTGCTGTCAAGCGGGGGGAGAGGTATACAGTACATATGAACTGAAACAGGGAAACCCACAAAAATCGGAGGAGCAACAACTTCTCTCTCTCAGAAAGCCAGGAGACATACGACCCTCCCCCCTTCCCAACAACGAACAATACGAATACACTTCAAAGCGTCCCTGAAACAAGAAAAATCAACTATCAAAATAATTTTTTTTCCAAGTTTACAACTGCCCAATCCTAAGCTATTCAAAAATACGTGATTTAATTTTCCCTCTTCAAGCAAACGGACAATTACGACCCTTCAAAAGCATCCTGCAAACAAGAAAAAATCACTTATTAACAATTTTTTCTTCGACCAAACACAAACTCCCTGTCCAGCGACAAATACGATCCCTCAGTTGTGGATCTCCCAACAACACGATCCCTGTTGCCATACTTTCAACGATTCAAAGATGCGACGTAGAAAAGGAAAGTCAGCGATCAATGAATTTCTTTAGAACGAGTACCGACCTCAGCTTACTATTAGGTTGTCCGGAAAGGAATGCGCGTTCGAGCTTAAAAATTTTTTATTATAAAAACGAAATTAAACAAGATAAATTCAAAAGACAATCTCCATTAGTATCAATGACTTGTTGTCAACATTTATGCAAAAAATGGATTCCTCTTCTGAAGAACTCGACCGGCTGCGACTCAAAGAAGTTGGACACCCAGAGTTGGACCTTTTTCGCGGTTTGTGAATTTTCTCGGCCAGGGAGTTCTGCATCGACCGGAACAGATGGTAATCGATGGTGCCAGGTCTGATCTGTGTGGCGGATGAGGCAGGACTTTCCAGCCCAATTCCTCAATTTTTTCTAGAGTGATTTTCGCCACATGTGGATGAGCGTTGTCGTGGATAAATTTTGTCGACGTCGTTTCGACACTTTGAAGACGCAGTGCTGGATCCATGCGGTTCAATTGGTGTTTGCAGATGTCCGCCGTAACCGTCTGACCCGATTCCGGAACTTCAAAGTACCATCAAACCTTTCCTATTCTCACCTAAGACACCGGAGCATCACCTTTTTGCCGCGTATATCAGGTTTCGGAGTCGTCGTTTGGAGGGTTACACTGGAGTTCTAACCACTGTCCTTTTCTCGTTGCGTTATCAAAGCCAGACCCTTTTTGGGTCATTGACTTAATAATAGAGTCGAAAAAACCCGCTGTTCTTGGAGCGACGAAGAAGAATTCCGGCCATTGCCACTCGTGTTGCCTTGTTTGCGTCGCTCAGCTGGTGCGGCACCCGCTCTTCCCAACTTTTTTTCCCCAAAAAAAGCAAAGTAGACATGGACAAAAATATATCAAAAGAAGCACAATAAAAATCTCTTTCTAATAGACAAAACTGTCTCCAAAAATCTTCTATAGTAGGAGAGAAAAAATGGACAAGTTCAAAAAATTCAACGCGCATTCCTTTCCGGACAACCTAATAGTTAACCATTATACAGCACGCCTGGCGTGTATTCTCCAATTGCCGCTCCCTGCTTCTTTGAAGCTTCGTCAGCCTTACCAACTGAGTAATGCTGTCCTTACAGATCCGGCATCAGGTGGTTCAGAAGATTGGGCGAAAGGTAAAGCACATGTGAAATACTCGTATCTCTTCGAATTGCGACCGGAAGAGCAAGTTTGGGATGGATTTCTACTTTCTGAGAATCAGGTAGTGAAGTCGCTTGTTTTTTGTTACTTAATGTAATCCTGATATTTTAACACTTTTGCTTGCATTTTTCCGAATGTATTACACTCCTTAGATCATGCCAACGGCACGAGAAACCTGGGAGGCCGTGAAGGTGATCGCCTCTCAAACTCTTGCTATACCGACCGTTGCTCGAGCTCCCCAACGCCGCCCTCACGTGAGTTGATCTGTCACTTATTTGTGCTACAAATCCTGCCAGTGGTGGCTCGAGTG